GAGCGTCGTACGACGAAAATCGGATGCAGTGTGAATCCAGCATATGAATACGGGACCAAGCGTTAATTTTGATCACGTGACCTATTTTGACGCTGAAAATAAGCGTCGAGCGTCAGTATGAAAAGGCACCTTTAAGCAACGCGAACAGACCAATTGCCCACACGAGCGTTTGAAATGAAAAAGAAAGTGTAACTTCGAGTGCACGAAGTGCAAGTAGATCGATTCTTTTGTTCCTACGTTCACGCGGTACAGAGTACGATAGCCGGCCGCTAGATGTCACGATGATTGCCAACACTGTTCGACTTCTTCGTGTATATATATGCAGCGGTCGATATCAAAAGGTTTCAGACTTCAGAGACCGGTCGCCGGCGAATTCCTGTTCTTTCCTCGTCATTCTTTCGTCTTTGGCGGTTCGCAGTATTCTTTGAGGAAGCTCTTTCAAGGTAATCATCATTATTCCGAATTTTCTAAATCGTTTGTTCGCCATTCGTCACACAATCTCAAATGAAATCGACGTTTTGTTCAACAAAATCGAAACAAACGACATGGACGACGCCGGATGATCGCTCTAGTTACAGCTGCCCTTTTTTCTCTCGGAAAGTAATGGTCGAAATTCGGCCCTGACGAAGCTACTCGCGTTTTTGTGATCGAAACACACGAGAGGGTCTCGAAAACGAATTGCATAATTCAGAAGTTCCTTCCTTCGACGCGTAATAAGTACCGTTTCGTACTTCTGTTTCGCGTGAATTGCGCTCTATTTCGTAACATCGAAGGTCAATCGAGGGAGAGAGAAATAGCGATATAGAGAGGATTCGTGAGATCGCCACTACTTATTCGGCACCGTCACTATTTGGCAAGTCACGCTTTACGAATATATTCTCATGATCCGCCAGAACCAGTCGAGTTCGTGGAGATTTATGAAATAGCGAATTCACTTGCATTATACTTGATTAATGCATACTAAAACCTGCTATATGAAGTCAAAATTAATGTAGAAGCGTATAAATATTTTAAACAATTAAATATTTAATTAAATAATGATATTATAACGTTATTTAAAGATCATTTAAAGATTATTTTTATTAATGTTATTTAAGGATTGTTACTTTCAAAGTTATTATATTATATCACTGCATTTAAATGTTTCATATAAATAACAGCCTTTTTAAAATGTACTGATCTAATATAGTGTGAGTGATCGAATTCGTTAATAATAAAGCCTCTGGCATACAAAAACGTAAAGGTCTAAGTACAAAGATGTCTGTAATTGACAAGTCATGCGAGTCGTAGGTCAACACACGATAGGTTTGTTTATTTTTCTACAGCTGAACTAGAGTACACTTTTGGAACTTAAGGTGAGATACGTATACATTTGATATTTGGCGAAAGTGAGAAAGAAGTTCTAATGTAGGAATAAAAAAACGAACCTAATGTTTTAACGTAACTACACTGAAAAAAATGCATGTAATTTTACATGGAAATTACATGTTCATGACTGGAAAATTGCCTAAATATGATTGGGAATTTATAATTTCCAATAAATTTCCAAGCATATTTATGTAATTTAGATAATTTTCCAGTCATATACATGTAATTTCCATGTAAAATTACATGCATTTTTTTCAGTGTACATATATGCCAAAACATTAGGTCTGTTCTTTTTAGCTGAACTTTTGCACTAGTTCATCTTTCTTCCTTTTCTCTTCAGGAGGGACTGATGCAAACGTTCAGCCAAAAAGAATAGGCCTAATGACTACGTTTACACCGTGCATTTAAGCCGCGACCTATACAATAGATGTCCTTGTTTATCCTGTGTTAAACAAAGACATCTATCGTATAGGTCGCGGACTAAACGCACGGTGTAAACATAGCCATTGTGTGTCGATCTACGACTACAATTAACATTCCACGACTCGGTTACAGCCATCTTGTGCTTAGGCCCTAAGGCAATAAAAGTCCACTGTTGCCAAGTCTGGTCAAAAGTTATCCCTTATGTTGTGATTTATATTGCGATTTTTTTCAACATTTTAGCTGTAATTTGAACTCTTTTTTTATATTTTCCTATCCAAAAGTCATCCAGAAATTCTTCTAAACTTTCTTTTTTGTAATTGGCCGATTACTGCTTATGCTTTATTATAGGCGGTTTTTGGCGTGCTTCTGGTATAGCAACCAAAAGCAACCGCGGTTGGGGCTTTGTCTTCTGATCCCTGAAAACGAAGATGCCTTAGTCGCGGTTGCTTTTGGTTGCTATACCGAAAGCACGCCAAAAATCGCCTTATGTGCCTTATATTTTTTTGTTTCTTTTTTTGTTTAAAACTCCATGTACAGTGGAAGAAAATTAAGAAAACTATTAAATATTAGAAATAGGAAAATTAGAGCTAGAAATTAAACGCAATACAATTAAGATAAATATATCTAATATCTATTAAATATTAAAGAAATAAGTTATGAATAAAGATTAAATGTAACGCACAATGAATACAAATAAGATATCATCCTCTCCTTGCCCGAAACGTGTCTTTTTAATAAATCGATTCCTTATCTGGAATGTACTGCTCTTTGATTCTTTTAACGTGATCGATTGATTTTAGTGTATCACATTATGGTCATCTTTCTCGGAAATATTGCGTAAGCGCAGCGAAATGAAAACGACATCGATAAAGAATTCATGACAGATATTTTTTTAATGGATTTCAACGTCGTTGCGCGAATTAACGCAATTCGCCGGCTTACGTAGTATGCAGAGCGATAGCAGTTGCATTCGCCGGCATGCATCACGTATGGATTTATGCGCGATAATCTTCATCAACTAACGTCAGCAAGCGAATTTCCGAACAATTACTGAACAGATTAGCCGTATTATCTCGTGGGAATTCCTTTGAGAATACCTTGTCATCGAGAACGAACACAATCGGAACCTAACGAGATTCTACCGGAAACATAACATTATGAACATGAAGATAACAAATCGAGTTTTGGTATTAAATATTATTAATTACACGTCGTATTATGCACTAATTTATTATATTAATCGCATGCAATATAATAGATCACACATACATATTATATAGTTATTCTCTAAATTTTTAGAATGAATCTCACTTTAAGGCCCAGTTTCACAACCATAGTTAACTCTCTTAACCGAGGTTCAACTTATTCATTATCTCTTTTTTCAATTCTAGAATTGGAAATAGATGAGAAATAAGTTGAACTTAAGAGTTAACCGTGAGTTGTGAAACTAGGCTTTAAAGATTGAAATTTGAGCGGATCTTGAAAAAATAGTTATGGCCTGTTTAAAACTCATTTTGTCAATTTTTGCTTATCTTATGAAAAAGTTAATTATTACAAAATTGCAAAAAAATATAGAAACTACTGTATTATTGATAGAAGATACTTTTTAAATTTGTATTTATTAAATTATTATTAAATTAAAATTATTTATTAAATTTGTATTAAAGCTAAAGTTTTACTTTTAACTTTAGCTAAAAAATATTGTCCAAGAACAAAGTACAATAGTATGTCGGTATCGGTAAACTTCCTCTATATATTAGTTCAGCTGTAAAAAATAGATCTATTACTGCACATACAAGAGTAAAAAATAAATTTCTCAACATTAGAGATACTTCATGTGTTTTTTTCTTTAAACTGAAATAAATAGAAGGAATGCAAGGTTGCGGTTATCGCTGAGTGCACATTTGTAGTTGAAATTGTGGTTGGAATGGAGTCGTCTGACAAAGAAGTTTCGTTTCAATGCGAGGCCGTCCGTATGATTAGACGAAGTATCCTTTTCAGTGCTTCTGCGCGAAGTCGTTTTACAAGCGAAGCTTTTCCTTACCCAATTTCTTTGTATGTATGGTTTTCTTTTTTTTTCTTTCTCATACAAAACCTCGGTTTATATGTATCTATTTTATATATATACATATATATATATCTCTCATTGTGCAATCTAAGTCCCACCTGGTGTGCCAGTTCGATTGATCCCTTCTATTCATCCCGTTGGTCTCTGGGAAATACTGAATCCAATTTTCTTTGAAGCGTCATTCTTGCATTATCAGAATTTAAGAATTATCGAATTAATGTTTAATGTTAATTCACGCAGAATACGTAAGAAAGGTCTACGTAAATTTAATTCAACGCTTAATCGATGCAAAGAAAGATATGTCATTGATTTATAATAATCAACTGATGTGCCAGGTATTCAAATAAGCTGACTATTTATAGAATCTTCTATAGTCACTTTTACAAATAACTTTGTCTTAGATCGACGGTTCATTTAAATAAAACATTTATTTACTCTCACAGTTTCCGACAAATAAATTGTGTATCTTTAATCCATTCTGAATACGTTATTTTTCTACGGTGTTATCGAGTTCTTCGGCCGCGTTATTTCTTATCCATTGTGTCATTGTTATTTTAATATTCGTTGATAATTTATGGAGATGATGGCACATACATGCGTCGCGCCGTGTGAATTTGATGATATGTGACAGTTTATAAGTCTATAACTACACGAAACACGCGAGGAACTTTACATAAGTTATCGTTGAATAAATATTTAGCTAGCGACGGTTTTGAAATGCTTATCGCGCGAACCCACTCGTGCCTCAGTGAGTCAACACTTATGTTAACTTAATTCTGATTACTTACGAATTATTTAATCTTAAGTACTTTCACCAAAGTACGATATTCCCGTCATGGCATTTCCAAAAATCTTATCGCACAATTCGGAAACTTGTAAATGTTTACTTTCAGGATCTTCATTTCTTCGCAGATAAGTTGCAAGGATTACATAAAGCCTGATAGCGAATTCAGTTGGAGACATTAATGCATATTAGTGCGCACTGAATCCAATCGAATTCGTTGAGACACAATTAAAAAAACACAAAGCACAGGCAGTAGGAACTGAGAATAACAATCATTTCAAGCTATCAGAAATCGTGTATTTTGATATACTGGCACTTCTTTCAATTATATCTCAATCTTTGTTTGAATTCTGTGCGCGGCGATAAAAAAAACTCTGTAATGAATTTATCACACGGATATAAATGCGAATTTATTGCGAAACTTCCGAGAGTAGAGATTATTTCGTGTAACGATTCATTAGAAATAAGTTATGCATTATGAATGCATAATGATAGCATGATATCTGTGAAAAGTAGATAAAGTTTCTCTGTATTCTTGGTTGTAGCGACTAAACAACAGCAATCATGCCTCAGCTCCAGAAACCGGCGCCCGCTTTCACCGGCACTGCTGTTGTGAACGGACAATTTAAGAATATCAAACTCTCCGACTACAAGGGCAAATATGTTGTGCTTTTCTTCTACCCATTGGACTTGTAAGCATTACGATCATACTTTCATGGGCAGGATATAACGAGACAGTTATACAATTCTCAATTGCTGCTGCAAGAAGTGTTGTGTAATTGCTTAACATTTGCATACACTTGGCTCTTAATTGATTCATTTGAAACGATAACAAAAAGATACGTGTTCTATTCTGAGAGATTATGGAAAACAGGTCTTCTATGTTCTAAAATCACGCTGCTAATTACATCAAGTTTAAAACGAGTTGTATTATGTGTTTATTTAAATTATAATGAATAAAATTAATAGATTTAACAAAAAAGTACTTGAAGTTTGAGAGACTTGTAGCAAGTAAAATAAAACAAAAATCATGCATCTTTAAGATTTCGAATGAATAAGAAATAGAGGCAGTTTAAATAAATTATAATTACATAAATATTTTACCACAGCACTTTCGTGTGCCCGACGGAAATCGTCGCTTTCTCCGATCGAGCGAAGGAGTTCGCCGACATCGGCTGCCAAGTGATTGCTGCCTCTACCGATTCCCACTTCAGCCATCTCGCGTGGGTAAATACACCGCGCAAACAGGGTGGTCTCGGTGAGATGAACATTCCTTTGTTGGCGGACAAGAGCTGCAAAATCGCCCGTGACTATGGCGTCCTCGATGAGGAGTCAGGAGTTCCCTTCCGTGGACTTTTCATCATCGACGACAAGCAGACTTTGCGCCAGATCACCATCAACGACTTACCCGTAGGAAGGTGAGGCACTTGCATGATTATTAAAAAAACTGTAGTAAATTTATAAAAATTTATTTTAGATCTCGTAGTATAAATTTTGAGATCATATCATTCAAGCATGGCATTGATCGTTATAATACAATTTTATCGCTAACAATGATTTTATGTTGCAAATTTACAGATCCGTGGACGAAACTCTGCGTCTGGTTCAAGCATTCCAATATACCGACAAGCACGGCGAGGTTTGTCCAGCCGGCTGGAAACCTGGCAAGAAGGCTATGAAACCCGATGTCGTTGGCTCGCTGGAGTACTTCAAGGATCAATAGACAATAAAAATCGTACAATGTTTCTTCGTATTTACTGTTAATTACACTTGTGTGTACGTGTGTTTTCTACTCTTTCGCTGCTGTTCAAGTTAAACACATTCACTTCTGTTTCTATTTAGAATAATCAGATATACATCTCGCGACATTCACATTGAAACATCCGTCTTTAATTTAATAAACGGATTTATTTTCTATATGTTCTTAGAGAGTATTTATTTTATCATTCCACGTAGTATATGAATTACGAATCATTTCATATCAATATTACGTGCCAGACGAGCGATACAGATTACTTGTGATAACGAGTATCAATGTGATTAACAGTATTGAGTCAGTGAAACAAAAATTTTGATAAGGAAAAGCCCGAACGATTTGAATAACTAAATTAAAATGCAAAGTTCAAGTCGTCAAAAATTTTTCATTTTTAACATGTTTAGTAGTTATAACTCAATATTTTTCTTTATTGATCTCGTATTATAATTATAATAATTAAAACATATAGGCGATAATTATCGCGTTCGAAAACATCATCCTTCGAGTATCATTTTACTCTTGTTTAATATTCGGTGAACAACATCTCGGAGGCACTCGGATAGTGTTTTCGAGCGCAGCCTAAATATAAAGATCTGCGAGAGTCGAACCGATAAATTGCAGAGAACTTCATTTTACGTTCGACATTTGATTTAATAACCTATTCTTCGACGAATTTTTTATTGTATTTTTTTATTGTGATAAGATAGGTACTATCTTCATGAGTGACGATTGCGAAACTGCAATAACTGAAACAGGTAAGGAGCGAAAAATTCGATTTGCATTCTTTCGGGAAAATTGCTTATTTTATCACATCAGTTACAAAATCTGTCTGTAACGAGATATGTTACATGACTTTGACATAATGCAATATCTAATTTGCATTTGTGAAATACGTTTTGCTAATTATAAAAATATCTAAAAATACACTTTTTCAATTTGCAAATTTAATGAAGGATGGGGTATCTGGCATTACTTTATCATCACTTTGTGCGGTTTACTGTCACTTGCGGAAGCAAGCACTTCTCTGACTGTTCCCATTGTGGCACCGTTGATAGCGTGCGATTTAAAGCTCAACAAAGATAACGCCATAATGCCCATCGCTACTTCCAATTTTGGTATACGATATCAAAAATTGTTTTATGAATCTTATAATTCTAACTAAAAATCTTCTCTAACTAAAAATTAGCTGAATTAGCAATTTAATTATTTTGTTGAATTAGCTATCCAGTATGAAACGAGAAATGTTAAAAAATATATAATTTACATTTCTCGTCTTTGTAAAATTTATCACGCGTTAAGAATTTCAGTTATAAAGATATTAATATATCGATTTGTTATATGTTTTTAAAAATATTGATTAGGAATGGCAGTAGGTGCTTTTCTGTTTGGAACTATATCAGACGTTGCAGGCCGTAAAAAATTGATCCCAATTACTATGAGCATCGTGTTTTGCGCCTCAGCTTCTCTTTCCTTCGCTCAAGTCAATTTTTTTATAAATTTGTCAGTGTTTATGTTAGGAATGGGGTAAGTTCCTATCCTCTTTTATAATGAAAGCTATACAATTCGGGACATCTCATGATGACATTAAAACGATAAAAAATGCGCGATTATTTACAATTACTTAAAAAATATTTTTAAACTATTTACTTTTAATATTAGCACATCCTCTACAGCACAAAAGTTGCAGCAATATTGCAATGATATTGCTGCACGTTCTGTGCTGTATGAGATGTTTCATATTTGCAATTTTTTATTTGTCATTGTTTATGCAATGTTTATCATAATATATTATATCAATTATATTTCCGAACAAAATCTGACTATAACGAGATACGCGCGTTGCATGACTTTGACATTACATAATATTTAATAATTAATTTGCAGTTGTGAAATACGTTTTGCTAATTAGATAAACCGATAAAATATCTAAAAGTACACTTTTTCAATTTACATATTTAATGAAGGAGATATCATTATCTTCACTCGTGTGATTTATTGTCGCTTGCGGGAATGTCATAATATATGAAGATTAATGCATTCGTAATTGCATGATAATTAAAGTGTGCGTTTATTAATGGATGATCATTAATGTCATTGACATAGAGTTTATGTTTATAGAGTAGCTGGAAATAATATCGTTCTGAGAATTTATCTCATCGAATGTCTACCGATGAGAAAGAGAGGGACTTGTTTAGCAGTAATCGACATGTTTTGGATAGTCGGCTATTTATCAGCCATAGGTAACCAGATGATTTTACAAATAATTCCTTACAATTTGCGTTAAATTTATTAAATATCATCTTTAATTATTAATCATTATATTAATTCTTAATTTAGTCTTTTTATTAAATATTTTATATTTTTAATATATTAACATTTTGGACATTAAAATGTAATTTTAATGAGTGTGAAAAAACTCGGTTACTGGATTACTAATTTATGTACATAAATCTTTTTTTACTTTTGCATCATTTATTTGTTTAAAAAATGACAATGACTTTTAAAGATAATCTCATTTTTGTTTTTTACATTAATTTAATATTAATCGGATAAGGAAATTAGAAGATTCAATTATAGACAAATTAAAAACGAATTAAAAAATCAATCGATCTATATATATATATATATATTTACTCTCATCTAACTAAATAATTGTCTAATAATTAATGTTTAATATTTGCGGAAAAGTTTTAAACATAAAATACTACTGGAATTGTGTTTCTGTTTCATCGGCAAAAGCTTTATGTCGAAAAATCTCAGAGAGATTCCTTTGTTCGAAAAGGCATTTCCTGGTCCATGATGCCGTCCATCATACGTATGCTGGACAAGCAATTCCGGCCGAGTTCCTGGCGAGTATTCGCTATTGTTTGCGGTACGCCGAGCCTGGTGATCGCCTGCACCTCAGGTCTCCTACCACCAAGTCCTCGGTATTTGTTACTTCGTCGACGGCCGAGACAAGCACTCGCGGTGCTCCAACAGATGTACGCCATCAATAATTTGAAGCATGCCGATACCTACCCGGTACGACGTCTCGACGCTCATATCTTATTATTTTCTAATTTCTTCATTCGCTCAAGCTTTGAACGAATGATTCTTTAAGCTCGATTGTGGAAAGAAATAAAATACGAGCATGGATAGTAAATATAGAACAATATAGAAAGGAATAAAAAAAATTAATAATGTTTTCTAAAAGTACACAATTATAGAAAAAATCATTTATTTTTTATAGTTAGAAAATATTTTAATCCTGTTGATCCGTTTAGATCTATTTGACTTAAAATGTAATTTATTTTATTACTAATATTTTATTTAAAAACTTTTTTTCTTTAGTATTTGATGACTTTGTCTGTTAAAGAAAATACGAGATTTAAATAATATAAGATTTTTTTCTGTAAAACTTTATTTTTTAGAGCTTTTTAATTATATTGACATAAACTATATGATCGTACAGTAATTTTTTTCAACAGGCCAGGATACGTATTCTAGAATTATTTGGAGTGAAATATCCGAAATGTGTGTGAATAATTATTTAGGCTTTTTACGTTATATTGCTATTTACGTTGATAACTCCTTTATTTCTTCGGAATTGTTCTCTACGACTCAGATTAGGGATTTAGAAAGCTGCGTGCGTCCAGACGACGAGGATGAAGCTGGCAGTATTCAAAGATACTTCACGAAAACCTGGGAACGGATCCACAGAGTGCACAAGCCTCCGTACAAGCGTGTGACATTGTGCGGAATATTAGCGTGTCTTCTGCATTTTCCCGGGTAATAAAAGAGGTTTCTCTGTAAGCTATCTGTCACTTGCACTTCGATTGCAAGAAGAATCACGAGAACGATGTTTAAGATTCGTTTGGCTCGCTTTGTGGAACACGCACGTTCTCCAGGAAATGGAAGAGCACTATATCGTAAGCGGCACGTGTAACATCGACGTCCAGAACATGGTATTGGATTTTTTGCGAAGCTGTGATAAGGTGAACGAAACTCGTTTCGAACTGTTGTTGCTGGTATCACTAGGCTACGTGTTAGGAGAGACGTTGCTCATCGTTGGAATCGATGTCGTTGGCAGACGACCGTATTTAAGTAAGCACCTAAACGGTCGCCAAGAATCGCTATCACTATTAAGATCATTCAATTAAAATGCATTATTTAATTGGCTCTCAAAATTCTGCGTTCTTTGTCCGAAACGTTCTACATTCTTTATTTCTAATATTTACAGTTCTCAAATTATCAGTTGACTTAAAATTTTTTGTATAATTGCGAAGATATCATTTTAACCCTCCGGAGCCGATGATGAGTCTACTGAACCCAATCAGAATTAAGGACATTACTTATATAAAATAATATATTACATTACTTGTTACTAATTTTAAAAAGAAACATATATGTATCGTTATTTAGAACGTAACAAATTGTTATTTTTTGTAATAATATTTCTATCTAATCAAAAATAATGTGATTTATTAAATATATATAAAGATAATAGGAGATTAAAGTAATAATAAAAATAATGGCTGAGACAGAGAGAGAGAGAGAGAGAGAATTCATTATCGTAAAAATGTAACGACGCTATCATTACCGTTACGGACAGAAAAAAGTAATGATAACGATAACGATAATCACGTTACAAGTAATCTCAAGGAGTTCCTACCAATCAATTAAATGCTTTATTACATTTTACAATTTTTTAATTGTTATTAAAATAAATTTAATTTATCAGCTCCAGAGAGAGTTAATATATTTAGTGTATATATAGGGTGTTTCGAAATTCGTGAATCAAAATACCACAGCAAAAAAATTTATAAAAATTAAGTAAAAAAGTTACATGTACATTTTTATATTAAGCAGTAATTTCTGAAATATAAGGATTTAAATATAGCCAATTGTAGATTAGGCAGCTATCTGTTCATTAATCGCGTGTGTAATATATTAGTAAGCGAGCATTTTAGCGTTTAAACGTAGTCCGTAATTGGTCATATTTAAACTCTTATTATTTCACAGACTAAAATAAAAATTTACAAATATATATATATATAACTCTTACTTAATTTTTTAAAAATATTTTTATACTGTAGTATTCTAATTCGCAAATTTCGGGACACCCTGTATAAAAGGATCTCTTCTTCTCTGATTGCTTTCAGTATTTTCGGGACTGGCGGGTGGGCTGGCCTCGCTCATGCTTATTTTTCGGTTGCACCACGCGATTCGTGTAACTCTGTCGTCGATTTTCCTGGCCGCTTACGCTATCGGACGCACGACGACGTGCGTTTTGCTGCTGGAAAATTATCCCACCGCTCTGAGGTAGGTCGCGCAAAACGGAACGGCCGGCACGTTCAGCTAATCTTAGACCATCAGACGCGTTTTCGGGAATCAAATGTTTGCGGATGCGGCGATATAAAACTCGTAATTTCTGGTACCAATTTCCAGAGGCACAGTGATGGGCCTGACGAAGATACTTCCCTACTTGATGCTTTTCGCGTTGCAACTCTTTATGAGAACGACCTGTCTTCTAAGTATAATCGTCGCGTCGGTCAGCCTAATAGGTACGAAGAAACGATCGTTTGTTATATTTGCTCTATTAAATATTAAATATTAAATATCTCTTGCAGGTGCGGCGATCGCGATGCTATTAGTGCCCGATTTAACCAGATTACCGATGAAGGAATAATTCGTACTTCCAGAAATGTATAAGAGAAGAATTTCTACAAATAAAGCGACTGTATTTTTTCTGGAATAAAATTTTATTTTATGTGCTTTCCTTTGTCAATATTCATTAGCGTTGAATTTGTTAAATTGCAATTATCTCTGAGTTAGAATTATAGATTCAACCCTCCCCGAAGCTGACGCTGTTGGATCTATTCACACAATTATAAACTTCTTTTTTTAAATATTCAATAATTCAAATTTCTTTATGCTGCATCTACAAATTTAGATTATTCTTGTTAAAATATAGTAATCGTTAGTAATTATTCAATCAAACCATTTTTCTCAATATAATAATTATCACTGAAAAAAATTTCTGTTTGAAAATGGACGAAGCAGAATTTTCTGATTAAATTTATTAGAATTCTGATTGAAATAGCCGAAATTCTGGTTGATATATTTCTAGGAAAATGTATATATTAGAATTCTTATTTTTATCAGAATAATTATATTAATCAGAATTCTAGTTATTTCAACTAGAATTCTAGTAAATTTAACCAGAAGATTCTGATTCGTCCATTTTCCACCAGAATTACTGTTTAATCCAACCAAACCATTTTTCTCAGTGTATGTTACAGATTTTAGTGTCAACTTCGAAAAGTTACTATCCCGCTATCAGATCTTATTATACATTTTCTTAATAGATCCACAATTCTTAGCGATTGCGAGGCTCTCCGCAGGGTTCTCCACCGCCCGGCGAAAGTAGCACGGCGAGCTTTATGATCGGTAGCATCATTCCGCGGCGCTTATAAATAAGGACCGCACGGTCGCGTCTTCCCGCCGCCTTCTCGTCTATTTTCGGCGGGAACAGGAAGAACGCTCTCGCACGCGAGCAGTCGCGCATGCCCGAGACTCTCGTCTCGGCGTCGCGACGCCTTTGTAACTCGTACGTGTACTCAACACGCACACACGCATCCGCCGTAAATACATACGGCGAATGCTCGTCACCGAAAATAATTCGGCGCGCTATCGCCGAAGTCTCGAAACGCGCGGCGTCCGACGAGCTTCTCGCTCTCGCAGCGAAGAAGCGACCTCGCGAGGTCGCGCGAGCGAATTCCCGTCGCTTCGGAGGCCGTCGCGAGGGCAAGTCGATCGAGAGTGCGCCGGGAACGTGAATCTGCGAATTTCATTCGGTGATCGAACGAAAAAATAAAAAGCAAAAAAGGCCGTCGTTCTCACGTGGATATAATCGCAGCCAATTAATCGAAGCTCCGTCGAGAGTCTTTCAATACCATTGGTGTACGTGGGTGGTAAAAAGTAGTAAAGATATTCTTAGTTTGTATTAACTAGATTTTGAAAAAAAAAACTCTATGATGAAATGAACTTTTAGAAATAAAATTTTATAATTTTTAAAAATTAAAAACAAAACAGATAGTCGGAGGATGTAACGTCAATCTCTTCTTTGTGTTCGAATAAAGACGTGGAGGAAATTCGGACGGAGTGTAACAAAGAAATCGTGCGCCGCGTAAAACAAAGGTATTTTTTTAATCAACATAAATAAATACTTAAACAGGCGAATTAAGATTAATGCAGAAAATGTTACATGCTGTAATGAAATTTAATAAACTTTGACATATTAAATTTTTGAATACATTACACTACAAAACGTTTGATCGGATAAAAAAGAAATTAATGAAGAAACTCGATGAAGCAATCATATAAAGACTACGGAAAGCTTAAATTGTGGTGAGAGTCTCAGTGACACGTAAATAAAGAAAGGAATTGATGTTTCTTCTTTATACTTTTTGTGCTTTTCTAGCTCTTACAGCAAGAAGAAAAAGCGCGTCGGAGAAGCGGCGTTAGTGCATTCGGACCCATTACCGCGCGTTCGCTTCCCATAATATTTATACGATCGGATGTTTACGGGAGGAATCAACACTTCGCTTATACCATCAATTTATAGATCGCATTTCCGTCTGCCGGAGCGTACAAAAACAAATCTGACAACGAACATTTATTGTAGTACAAACATTTGAACGAAGGTATTCGGACCTCTTCGAGTAAATCAAAGTAAACGAAATATACCAGCAGCATAAAAGAATATACGTAATAAAATTCTTCTAATCAAAGAAGCTCGATACGGATAATGACAAAATAAAAAAACAATCTTTATGATCGAATAACAATTTGAAGAAATATTTCGATGTTACAGCTTATTTAGTTTACTAAAACAACGAAATATAAAATAAAAATTGTTTAACAGATTAAAACAAACATTTATAAAGTAAACACATTTAGATTTGAAAAGATATTCAGTACGAATTCAAATTACTCGAATTTTATGGATGGAATAACCGCATGACGCCATGTTACAGCTGTTTCGATAAAACCACATAAAAGATGACAGCGTCGTTAAATTCCCATAATTGTCACTCGTTAAATATTACCCATCGCATCCTACGGAATATTTAGATCTTGCGTCTTCGCTCAGCAATCTATTCAATGGCGAAGGATAATGCCCGCCCGGCCGAGGAATCCGGTGCGTTCGAAGCCGAGAGGAAGTTCGACAGGTCGGGCCCGAGTCGCTCGCGAGATCAAAGAGGAGCTGCCAGGGTCAAGGACAAGCCCGAGGAGGGTCGACTTCCGACCCCACCTCCGGACCCGCAGTGCCCGCCGGTTGCCCTCGTACGAGATCACCGCCTGGGGATGACGTCTCGCGGGCCCGAGGAGGAAGAGGAGGATCTCGCGGCTTATCTCGGCGAGCTCGGCGCATCGCCGTTCGAGGGTCATTCATTTGATTACGACACCACGCCGAACTCGGCGACCTCGGCGATGGGTGGCGACGCGACTCCCTTCACCGAGGAGGCGTTCGAACACCTGGACCGACTGTGCACGCTAACGGAGCAGATTCTGGAGCTGCGTACTCGCAGCTCCGAGTACTTCCGACGCGTGCGGGGTCTGGAACGCGCGAAGGTGCAACGAAATGCCAATCGGCGGCTGGAGATCGCTCTGGCAAACGGTGAGGAGTTGCATCATGATTTCGTCGACGAGGATACCGGCTTCGCGGAATCCCTGCTGGACGCGATGCTGTCGAATAGCCGAGATGCCGCGTCCTCGACGCCGAGGAGGAACGAACGCTCGAACGTGCGACCATCTTCATCGAGACAACGAAGCCGATCGCTCGCGTTGACCGAGCAAAATCTCGGATCGCGCCTGGTCGAGCAGATAGGTGAGATGGACAAAAGTGCCGCGAGGAACGTGGGTCGCAACGGCGGTCCGAAGGTCAGCAAATGGACCAGGGTGAAGGCAGCCTTCAAATGGGAGCGCGCTTGTACGAACGATCTCGCGGACATCGCGGAATCGGACACACCAGCGACTACGTCGTCGACGCCGACAACGAAGTATCTCAGAATTCCAGATGCAAACATCGCCGGAAGCTGGAGCACCGGATCGGTGCTGTCACCCTGCACCAGCGAAGTCTCCAGCCCATCCACGCCGATTGGCAGAGTATCGTCCACGTCGTCGTCCACCGACGATGTGTTTGACGGTGAGAATATGCATCTACTGTTTTCACAAAGCGTTCTCTAAAGTAGATGCTGCATTATGCATTCATTAATTCAGAAGCAATTTGGTTTGGGATAGAAATTTTGAAACTATTATCGGTCGTTTTAAAATGAAGGGTCTTCGCGGACCAAGCTCCAAAATTGTAAATTGATAATAGATATATAAAAGCTTCTGATTAGCTATAAGCAGATTTTTGCTTAATAGAGGATTATCGAGATATTTAAGGCTCTCGTTCATTCATTTATTACTACATTGCGACGTCAGAAGCGAGAAAACAAAATAAAAATCCTTACTGTAAAATATGTTAATATGGAAATACCATATGTTTTAATGGCTGCATTCAGCAGAAAAAACAGCTTTGCAACTATTATAAAATTCTTTAATATGATTGATTTTGATTGCTTACTGAATCTAAATGTATCAACCAATCATATTAAAGAATTTTACAGCGGTTGCAAAGCTGCTTTCTCTGTTGAACGCAGCCAATAATACAACACAATCAATAAAACTGACTTGTAAAATATACCAAAAGTTCTCTTTTTGTTTTATTAATTAATAAATAATTATCTATGTGGAAATGAATTATAGCATAATGAAAAACATAATGAGCTATGTTTACAGTTATGACAAAATGTCAAATTGATAATATAGATATTAAAATAATATTTATTTCAATATATGATTTAATTTCTCCCCGAAATAAGAAGATAATTTTCAGTATATTTTTTAACTCTATTCTGTCAATTACAAATTGATTTGTAATTAATATTGTTTTCTTGAAAAATATTTTTATTCGAATATAATTTTTTAATATAATTATTTTTATTGTGTATTTTCTCGCTTCTGATGTCACAATATGAAATAATAGCGATAAATGAATAAGGGTTTTAATATTTTAAAAGAGCGATCTTAAACTTGACATTTTATTAAATATATTCAACAATTAATGTATTGAAAATAATGCAACAACAAGGGTATATTTATTTTCTTTTATCAAAATATCTCTCTCACAAAATGATCATTCTATGTAATAAATGATATTATATATATATATATATATAAATCAGTAATTTTGAATCTTTCTATAAAATAAAAGGACGATTATTCTAATAATAACATAATAATGTGTGTGATACATTTTTTTAGATTCGCGCAAAAATATCGTAAACTATTCGGACCGACAATTGTCTTTCGTGAAGGATGATAAAAAAAAGGACGATTCAGATCGGTACGGTCGATCGCTCGATCGCGACACTTCCGTCACGGAGAGCGTCGATTCCATAGAATCTCCTAATGAGGTAATATTAAGATGGGGAAATTAATTGTAGCATTCTGCAAATGTAATTTTTATTTTACGTGCGAACAGGATTGGCAAAAACCCAGTTTTTTTTTTTCAGAAAAACCGAAATTTTCGGGGTTTTTGTGGGTTTTTGTGGTTTGTGGGTTTTTGTTCTAGGACTCTAATACAGCCATCTATTGTTGCTCGGTGGGTTTTTGTAAACTGGGTTTTTCTGTGCCAACTCTGCGTGCGGAA